TCCCCGTGTCTTGGCACGTTACCACCCATATGCTCGCGATTTTTCTTGGCATTCCAATTTCGCTTTGATGTTCGCTTAGCGTTACATGGGGATTTTGCACTTAGTTACACTTAACAAACTGACTGCAAATAAAAGCAAACTTGTAACTTATGCTTTTTCAGTTAACCACAAAAAATAGCATCAAGAGTAGTTGTATTTTCACCGGTGCCCGATCAAATTAAAGAAATCGAAAAAATTAGTTAAAGAAAAAAAATTGAAAAAAAATTTTTTCCGATTTTTCCGATTTTCCGATTTTCCGATTTTCCGATTTTTCCGATTTTCCGATTTTTTTTTTGAAAAAATGATTTAAAGAAAAAAATTGATTTAAAGAAATAAAAAAATTAATTAAATACAAAAGATTTGCAATGAATAAAATGGTCGAAATAAAAGATATGATAGTACTGCAATTAAAAGCATTTGCGAAAAATCTTGGAAAAATCTTGCGAAAAATCTTGGTGACATCACCACCACCACCACCACCACCACCACCACCACCACCACCACCACCACCACCACCATCACCAACACGACGTTTTTCTGGCATGACAGGTCTCATAGTGTGTGGAGATGATGATGACAAGCGAATCATTCATCCAAACAAAGTGGACACATATGCACCGGGGCATTATAATACAGGTTTATCTTATTGATTTTCGGATTTTCGGATTTTCAGATTTTAGATTAAAAAATCTAAAATCACACACAAATTTTGACTGAGATTTTTTCTGATTGAAAATGGTTTAAAGAAATAGAAAAATAGAAAAAAAATATTAAATACGAGAAAGCAAAAATGACAAATAATGAAAACACACAGTTAACGACCGTTAATGGTTACAATCCCAAAAAACGCATGATCTTTTCTAAACCCATTTCGGGAGAGATTCCGGACAGCAAACCAAAAATCGAGTTCAAGAGAATCAACATTTCTACTCTCAACGAAGACGGAACAGAAGGTGAACTCATTCTTCCCACAGAACGTCTGTATTCATTTGGAATTTCAGAAAATACGAGTCAAGAGACAGACAAAGTCACTGGTTACACATTTCCTCTGTGCTTGTGGAACCGCGATGGTGCTACAGAAGAAGACAAGATTTGGGTAGAGACTTTCAAAGCCATTGTAGATTGGTGTATAGATCACTTGGTTGAAAATCGTGAAGAAATAGACATGTTTGAGTTTGAACGTAGTGATCTGACAAAGTCTAAAGGTGGTTTAAACCCTCTTTATTGGAAAATGCAAAAAGTCTTGAATGAAAAGACAGGAAAGATTGTTCAACAAAAAGACCCCAATCGCGGGCCGACCTTGTATGCAAAACTGATTTACTCAAAGAAAACAGATAAGTTTTGCACGAAATTTTTCGATCTAAATGACGAAGAGATAGATGCACACACGCTGATGGGAAAATACTGTCATGCAAAATGTGCAATAAAAATTGAGTCCATTTTTATTGGCGCTCGTATTTCACTGCAGGTCAGACTATATGAGGCTGTTGTAGAACCCACTAAAACGTGGATGAAACGTCTTTTGCCTCGTCCTGAAGTACTAGAGTCTGAATGTATGACAGCTGTAGATGTTATGAATGATCAAAATGATGATGAAGATTCTGATGGTGAACAAAATAAAATGCCCATTGTAAAGCCAGTACGTCGAGTAAAACGAGTAGTGAAAAAAGTAAACTGAATCTTTTGTGATGATAATCTTATACTAAATAGTATAAGATGCAAAACTTACATATTCACATCAAACCTTTTTTTAACATAACCTCTATATTTTTTGTGATATGACGCATGCGCCAAGTTTGGAACCAAATCATTGATCAACGCTTCATACTTTTCAATCCATTCCAAATCACTCATACTCCACTTTCCATTCTCTCTCATCGAATGATTCAAGTGTGTCAATATCGAATTGTTCACAGACAAAGCGATATTGAGTTTTTCGATTTTCAAATCATATTTTTTAAAATCCTTATACTTTTTTACAATCGTCATTGGAACAAGTGCAACCAAAGCTAGCAAAGGATTCACAGCCGGTGATAGATGTCGGTACAGCCGCAGCAACACCAAGAATCACACCGGCAACATCGAGTGCAATTCCTTTCTTTTTGAACAATCCCTTCACATACTTCATAACAAAATCGAGCCTGTAAAAACGATCATGCAAAGATTGCAGCAATGACAATGTCTGTTTATCAATGGTGTAATCAATATGATTAGATGCTTGTACAATTTTTGACGTGTAAGCCACTGGCGTGTTAGCCACTGGCGTGTAAGCCACTTCCGTGTAGTCCATTTTTATATTTTACAAGAAAATATAAAAATTAATCTTGCTTTACAATCATCAGATGACTAAAATTTAGTCCATCGAGTTGAACAGTGCTGTTATCTGCCTCTATACTCAGCGATGTGTTCGCTTGAAAATACAACAAAACGGTATTAGCCGTATTAACCCATGTATTTCCACCATGTGTGTTGGGCAGCGGCATCAATATACCGTTTGCCGTGCTCACGAACGAATTGCTCAAGATAAATCTGAGATTGTATTCATGTTTAGACTTGACACCGTCGATGTATGTAACCAGATACATGCCGGCGTTGTTGATTATGAGTTTTGTATTGTCTGAACTGTTCACTGTGAAATCAGCGTTAGCGCTCTGTGAAACGTTTGTGGAATGATCTGATGTTCCATTTACATAAAATGTTACCTGTGACGCGTTGTTATGAGCACAGTTCCCTCTATACCAAATCTTTTTCGTTGCGTTTGTCAGCGCCGTCTTTGTCGCTTTTGTATCAATATTTGTCTGTAAAGATGTTTGGATATCATCAACGTACTTTTTCGTTACCGCTGAAGAGGCAACAGACGGTTGCTTTGCGAGAGTAAGCGCAGAATTTATACGAACTCCACCACTCAAAAAGCTGTACCAACTTGTCCAAACAGATTTCGGCAAGCTGTTGTGATAACCCTTTGATCCATAGACTATCACCCAGATGGGAAGTTTCTGATCGTAAGGCTGACCAGATTTGTTTTTGATCACCACGTCAAACATCAAATAATTTGGTGTTGCGTTGCTCCATTTAGTCATGTGAATCAAGGCGACGATGTGATTTTCAAATCGATTGCTACGCTGAGTTGAAATTGTTTCAACACTGCTGGTTGCTGTCAATGTCACAGAGTTCGGATCAACTTTATTCGATATCCAACAGAGCTCACAGACAACAGTGTATTCTGACTTGTCTGCTGAATACATATTTACACCAAAACGTGATGAATAATAACCCTTGGAAGTGTCGAGACTTAAATCAAACGGTTTTGTTCTGGGATTCGTGGGGTACAAAACAACCTGGTCAGTGATCGGTTTTCCTGTTATATCATCTTCATCAGAGAACTGACCGTTTCTGCTCATGATGTAAGAAAGGTTGTTAGTCAGCTGGGCCGGTGTTAAGTTGTGAGCCAATCGATCTTCGACAAACTTTTTGTTGACCAGTTCGTTATCTGCCGAAGGTGTATGACTAGAAGTGACTTTGTTGGAACCCATTGCAAGATCACCGGTCATTGTCCCACCTGCCTTGCTCAGCTTTGTATCCGCATACTTTTTGCTCACAGCTTCATCGTTATCTGAAAAAGTATCTGGGAGGTTTACGATTTTACGCTTTCTAGCGTCTAAAGTTTGCTTGTCGTTAAGGTTACGAAAGCTCGGTATTCTCTTCTTTGTATTGTCAACATATACTTGAGTAGCATTGCTGAGACAAGTAATATCGAGAAAACCTTGGAGATGTCTCTTCATTGCACCCGCTTCATATCGAGAGATGAGAGTGTTTGAGTTTTCGTAAGTAGTTTGTTGCCTTGTAGTCATATTCAGGTAATTTTCTCTCTTTGTATTGATAACATCTTTACCATTCATATCGAGATTGGCTGTCATCTTTTGAGTGCCATCCAATAGCAAAACGGATGATGTATCTGCTTTGCCACTCAAACCGTTCAACACAGTTGATGAATCGGCCTTTTTCGCCAATTCGGTGTTGAGTTTATTCTCATTTACAGCAGCAGTACCGTTGAGCGGCTGATCACTCAATCCCGTAACTTGCCGGTCTGCTCCATGTGTGCTTGTGAAAGTTATCGCCTTCTTCAAATCTGAAAGATCGATGTTACTACCTGAACCAGCAGGCCCTTGTGGCCCTTGCGACCCTTGCGGTCCTTGCGGCCCTTGCGGCCCACGAGGTCCTTGCGATCCTGTATCACCTTTATCACCTTTATCTCCCTTTGGTCCAGCAGACCCTTGCGATCCTGTATCACCTTTATCACCTTTATCTCCTTTATCCCCCTTTGGTCCAGCAAGTCCTCTTAGTCCTTGCGGTCCTCTTGCTCCTCTTGGACCTTGTGATCCTACATCACCCTTTGGTCCTTGCGATCCTTGTGACCCACGTGATCCTTGTGGACCTGTATCACCTTTATCACCTTTATCACCTTTATCACCTGTATCCCCCTTTGATCCAGCAGGTCCTTGCGACCCACGTGGTCCTTGTGGACCTGTATCTCCCTTTTGTCCTTTTGGTCCTTGTGATCCTGTGTCACCTTTTTCTCCTTTTGGACCCGGCGGCCCTTCAGGTCCTTCTTTGCTTGCACCTTCTTGTCTGTGATCGATTTCATGATAACCGTCAGAATATCCCATCTCAGTATTATTGTTTGTTTATTATATATTCAGAAAATAGTTTTTTATAAATCGTTCGTTCGAAAAAGCATCACTGTGTGACAGATGTTTTGTCACATCGTTGAAGATAGCGTACAAACTTTGATGAGCAAGAGAGGGTTTCATTCTTTTACTTGTTTCATTCAAGAAAAAGATACAATAATAACCACACAAGACGCTTGTCAATGCCTGATAATGTGTGTTGTTAAACGCATAATTAACTCGATGTTTTTTGCAAAGCGTCAACACCTCTTGTGGCGGATCAAGACCGAAACTGTCAAAGTACAAAATGAGATCGGAACCAAAAACCATCGCCACCCAGTGTGAACCAGATTCATGCGATTCGTTCAGATTGATGACGAAAGAGTGCCCCGCCTTGCAATCTTTTATTTGATCCCTGGATATCACCCCTCCAAAGTTTGGAATCTTGAGATAATCGATCCAGTTTTGAATGTCGAGGTTTGTGATCGGAACATTTTTGAAGGGCGGCCTTTTTAAAGCAGGCCTTTTTAAAGCAGGCCTTTTTAAAGCAGGGCTCCCAGTAGTGGTATTCCGTTGAAGGGAGAATCTTTGCCCAGCAACAGACCTTCTCCTTTCTGTCCTTTCTGTCCTTTTTGCTTTTTTTTACCTTTTTTATTTCCCATTCCAATTGTTGGTACAGGTTCGCCCAATCCCGGTGGAAAGAAAATTGGTTGATTATCCCAATACGGTCTGTTTTGCATGCCCTTGCCACTCTTTTTTGGAGCGCGAACGTGTAGCCCTCTTCCTCTCGTGTTTCCGCTTCCGGTCAACGCCTTTAGAAGTATCGGCACACCGATCGAAGCAAGAAGAGTTCCGAGAAAACCTCCACTCTGACTTTTTGTCGGCTTCATTTTCATGTCACCACCAGAGTTAAGAGCATTTGCAAGGTCCTGTTTCTGCTTCTTTGAAAGAGCGTCCACATACGGCAAAAGCTTCATAATATTTGAATTTGGGATTATCAGGCCACCCGACTGTTGACCAGCACCGAGAATTTTATCTGTGGCAAAATTGCCCAGACTTGAGAGGGCACCTGTAGCCAATCCTGGAAGTGCCTTTGTGGCAAGATTCATCGCTTTTGGGAGAAGTTTTGTACCAAGGGCGAGAAGTGAAGAAAATAGGCTGCCGCCTTTTTGCACAACCTTTCCCATCTGTGTTTTCGAGATCTTGAGATCAACTCCCTTTCCCAATCTCGCGGCTTTCTGAATTCGATTTATCTGAGTCTTTGTCAGCATCATCTCGTCAGGACCATTCAACTCATTGTGTGAGAGGCGAAGAGTTATAGCCGACTTCTCATTGTAAGCTTTAGCAAGCTTTTTTCTTTGATTATCACTCAGTGATACTCCATATGTAATGTAAGTCATTATCTTTTTTATTATGTATGCTACATAATAAAAAAAATTTTTAAAAAGTAAGCCTTGTAAAAGTAAGGTCAGCTCTTCGAATCGCAGGGGTGTGCGGGGTACCTCTCACATTACTTTTTGATGAGTGCTTTACCACTCATAACATCAACACTGATTTCCTCCTCATTGAGAATCAATGCATAGATGTGATAATCAGCGTTGGTGGTGTTGTTGAGACTGTACTCAAAATCAAGACGTGTTGCAGCTTTCATGATCTCTGGAGGCTGCTTTGTCAGATCAAAGTAAAGCACTCCATAGAGATCTTGAAACTGTTTCATGGTGATCGCTGGGCCGAACAAGCTGCTGTTACTTGCAAGTTTTGAATAGCTCGCAAAGTATTTCCATGCTCTTGCCAGCTCACTGCTGGGATCCAGCGCCTGATCCGGATATCGTGTTCCGTTTTCAACGCGGAGTTGTGCTTTTGTAAAGTATCTCGCGTTGGCAATGTTGTAAGTGTTAAACACAAACATGTTCTGCTCCTGATCGTCAAACTTGGACGCATTCAGAATCCAAACGAAGACATGCCTTGGTCTATCAACAGCACTTGTGATGTTGAATTTACCATTTTTTTG